TCAGGCCCCAATGTGGGTCAGTGACCTATGCCAGTGGGCTAATCATACACTTGGGGAAATTAAGGTTGTTTATATCTGGCAGTTAAACTGCCCCCCCCCTTCTCTCTCTCTCTCTCTCTCTCTCTCTCTCTCTCTCTCTCTCTCTCTCTCTCTCTCTCTCTCTCTCTCTCTCTCTCTCTCTCTCTCTCTCTCTCTCTCTCTCTCTCTCTCTCTCTCTCTCTCTCTCTCTCTCTCTCTCTCTCTCTCTCTCTCTCTCTCTCTCTCTCTCTCTCTCTCTCTCTCTCTCTCTCTCTCTCTCTCTCTCTCTCTCTCTCTCTCTCTCTCTCTCTCTCTCTCTCTCTCTCTCTCTCTCTCTCTCTCTCTCTCTCTCTCTCTCTCTCTCTCTCTCTCTCTCTCTCTCTCTCTCTCTCTCTCTCTCTCTCTCTCTCTCTCTCTCTCTCTCTCTCTCTCTCTCTCTCTCTCTCTCTCTCTCTCTCTCTCTCTCTCTCTCTCTCTCTCTCTCTCTCTCTCTCTCTCTCTCTCTCTCCTCTCTCTCTCTCTCTCTCTCTCTCTCTCTCTCTCTCTCTCTCTCTCTCTCTCTCTCTCTCTCTCTCTCTCTCTCTCTCTCTCTCTCTCTCTCTCTCTCTCTCTCTCTCTCTCTCTCTCTCTCTCTCTCTCTCTCCTCTCTCTCTCTCTCTCTCTCTCTCTCTCTCTCTCTCTCTCTCTCTCTCCTCTCTCTCTCTCTCTCTCTCTCTCTCTCTCTCTCTCTCTCTCTCTCTCTCCTCTCTCTCTCTCTCTCTCTCTCTCTCTCTCTCTCTCTCTCTCTCTCTCTCTCTCTCTCTCTCTCTCTCTCTCTCTCTCCTCTCTCTCTCTCTCTCTCTCTCTCTCTCTCTCTCTCTCTCTCTCTCTCTCTCTCTCTCTCTCTCTCTCTCTCTCTCTCTCTCTCTCTCTCTCTCTCTCTCTCTCTCTCTCTCTCTCTCTCTCTCTCTCTCTCTCTCTCTCTCTCTCTCTCTCTCCTCTCTCTCTCTCTCTCTCTCTCTCTCTCTCTCTCTCTCTCTCTCTCTCTCTCTCTCTCTCTCTCTCTCTCTCTCTCTCTCTCTCTCTCTCTCTCTCTCTCTCTCTCTCTCTCCCCTCTCTCTCTCTCTCTCTCTCTCTCTCTCTCTCTCTCTCTCTCTCTCTCTCTCTCTCTCTCTCTCTCTCTCTCTCTCTCTCTCTCTCTCTCTCTCTCTCTCTCTCTCTCTCTCTCTCTCTCTCTCTCTCTCTCTCTCTCTCTCTCTCTCTCTCTCTCTCTCTCTCTCTCTCTCTCTCTCTCTCTCCTCTCTCTCTCTCTCTCTCTCTCTCTCTCTCTCTCTCTCTCTCTCTCTCTCTCTCTCTCTCTCTCTCTCTCTCTCCTCAGAGTACAACATTTAACCCTTCAATATATATGGAAGTAAATAAGTGTTGCTTTCATATTCTTATGTAGATAATGATGATATGTTTTCATATGTGTGCACTTACATACGTGCAGTCTAAACTTTTTTTTACCATTAACGGTTAGCTACTTATATTTTCCATTTATTAACATTAAATAACATTGCAGGTACTTCAAACAACCATATTATTTTTTACTTTAATTTTACTACAGCTAAAATCAGGGTCTTATTTTCTTCAGTTTTATATGTAGAACCAATCAGTCACTGGTTTCGTAGCTTTAACATAAACAATGCGGCAGCCGTCTGTCTCCTCTAATATTCCACCTATATTAATAAATTGTATTGTTAATTTTGCACACATACATTAATTCAATAAAAACAAATTCAAACATTAATTAAAATATATATGAACAGTAAATAAGTGTTGCTTTCATATTCTTCGTAAAAATGTGTGATATGTTTTCATGATATCGATATACACTTACACTCTATGATCTCTCTTTTTCTTTACCATTATCATTAGCTACTTCTATTGTTCCATTTATTAACAAATAACATTACCATATTAATTTTACTACAGCTACAACCAAGGTCTTATTTTCTTCAGTTTTATATGTAGAACCAGTCAGTCACTGGCTTTGTAATCAACGAAAACAATGCTGTGTCATTTCCTCGTGTGTTTTAATATTCTCGTATTATTAATAGTTGTATTGCTCTTTTGCACATAAACATTAATTCAGTAAAAAGACATTCAGTAATAAACAATAATGAATCTTTTATACAAAATAATGTTTACCGCGATTATACGTGTCTGCGTTGGCGGGCCGTTCAAATCGAAATTCAAGTTTCTGCGTCAAGAATTTTTATTTATTTATTTTTTGGGTGTTCCAATAAAATACGTTAAGAATTAAAACTCATGAAATTTGAGAAGCTACTATCGACATTTAACCCTTCAATATGTCTTCAAAGAGACCATGATGCAGAGAAAGTGGTGCTAGTGCTTCCAAGCATAAGCACAAGTCACTATCTATCCAGGAAAAGGGTGAATTTCCATGGTCCGGCACCGGTCAGGTCCGAGTTGCCGGACTAGAGAGGTACAACCTGTACCACATTTGCTCTGATGTGCCTGATTTGTTTACACCACACCGGTGTAAATGTTTACAAAATCCAGGTGCAGTATATGAATACTCTATACTGTAACTTCATTGTTAAACAATTTAACAAGAAATATTACAAGTACACCTAGACCCCGACTTACGACGGGGTTAGGGACCCAAATCCAGGTCGTAAGTCCGACATAGATTAAAAAAAAAATAAATAAATAAATAAATAAATAAATAAATAATAAAAAATCTACAATGAAATACAGTACAGTAAACGTAATGAATAATGATGAATGGATACAGTACAGTGAAAGTAATAAATAATAAGGAATGGATACAGTGTGACTGAGCATAACCTTTAATGTAGTCAGCTGAATGCACATGGGGCTTCCCATAATTTCTAATTATACATGGAGACTACATTAACTGAAACGTCGGTATAGAAAATGCGTTGTCATTTAAATTTTTTTTTTATCTATCTATATCTGAGGCGGTCATAGTCCGACGGTCGTAAGTCCACGTAGTCGTAAGTCGGGGTCTAGGTGTAACTGTAAATGTCTTAAAAGGTCAGTAAGTGGACGGGCTCCCATAATATGACTAGTGCAAACACTGACCTTAGGCTGAGTTTAATAACGGTCTAGGGGGTCGACTTACCTGCCAGGTAAACACCAAGTTCAACAATTTCAGTTGTGCCAAGTCGACTTGCAGGTATAAGCCACAATATCTGTATATACTGTAAGCACAAGCGTTGCCACTCACTAGCCTGCACTACAGTGCACTGCTTACTGTCCGTGTTCAGCATTGGATGCTCTCGGATGCCTGTGTCAGCAACTCGGCATCTTCCAATGCTACGAAAAAAAAAATCTTGAAAGTGGGGTTTTCATTCATAAACCAAAGCAATGGAAAAATTTTTTTTCGTATTAGTGAAGTTTCATAAATCGAAGCACCCTTGTACAGGTTTTTGTCGGCTTGATCATTCCTAAACATAGGTAAGTAACCTTAGGATATTATATATATTTCTGAGTCTTCATGATATTTAGATGTGCATCTGAGAGGTGAAAGCCTAAAAGGATCCTCCTAATACAGGGTTATTCATGTTCCTTATTTCTCGGGAGCTAAGGGTCATTTGTGGGTTATATAAACCTATGTAGGACTTGTTTTGTAGTCTTTTATTGTGTAAGGTATTGAACTTGTACATAGTCTCTCAACACTAAATTGAGCTAATACACTAACGTGTGACCAGATTTTGTGAAGTTATCCCTAGAAGGACATTTCTAACATATATTTAGTTTTCATATCAACAACATGTTTGTAAACCTTTGGTGAATAATTGTCATGAAATATAAATATTATCAGGTGTATTATTTTTCATGCTTAACTGATTCAGCATTCATTAAGTAGATGTGGTAACCAGACCAACGTTCAATTAGAAATTTTAATTGAATGTCACAAGAATTATTGACGAGTTATCAGTAACAGTTGGAACTACTGTACCTGTACTGTATGTCATTTATTGATGTCTACTGAAAACTGTAGACAGGAGACCATCATATCACAGCACCCCACCCTTGGACTCCAAGACCAAAAAATTAGTTTCTTAGGAACTTTCGGTACATGAAAGGAATTCATTGTAAAAAGTTGCCTGGAAAAGGTTTACATTTCGTTTGTGTAGGGAGATTATGTATCAGTGATTAGGGTGTATAAAACAGCTTCAGCAACTACCCTGTAGATAGACATTAAAATAATTTTTGATTACAGGTATCCCTCATTTAATGATGGGGATGTGTTCCTGAAAGCCTAACATGAAGCGAAATTATTGCTAAATGAGGGATAACAAGTAATAATATCTGTCATATGGTCAAAGGGAATAAATATTTCCTGCTTGCTCGGGAGTAAGCACACAGGATGGGGGAGAGGGGAGCCGCATGGAGGATCTCGGTTCGCTGTCTCGTGTCCCACGTGTAGTTAAATGATTGCCAAATGGCAACTCCTTATTTTAAAAATTTATTTTATTTATCATTACAGGGAGGTGAAGGGCAGTGCATTTGGCTGCAGTTACAGCTCACTGCCTCAATACTGTACATACATTCACTTCCTACATGTACACACCCATGCTCTTCATTTTTCTTATTACAGTATATAATTTTATATTAGACTTTCTTTATTTCTAAACCACATCAGAGTATTGCGCACTTGGACCACAGAATTCTCAGTTTTTCCAACTGCCCTCCCGAGTTTTACCCAGTGAGTCGAACATCACTAAACCAAATTGTGACCAATCGATAAACAAGAAAGGGTGTTAAAAAATTTATATCGCTAAACTGAAATATCTTTAAGTGAGTGATCATTAAATGAGTGATACCTGTACATTATAACATTCATGAAAACCTTAGGTTAACTATGTGAAAAAGCTCCTGAAACAGATTGGAAGTTAGAAGTGTATAAGAATTAAACAGTAAATATAAGTTTGTACTGTATATTGATGCTCATATTTCTTAATTTTTAGATGCTGCAGAAACTGCAGTAGCATTTGCTAAACACTTGGAGCTGGAGGTGTCACGGTATAATCAGGTGTCGTGCATTAGTCTGGTGGAACAAACTGGAAAGGAGAAAGTGATTGCCGATGCTTTCCTGAACAATATTCTCCTGCTTGACTCACCCTACCTCACTTTTATTACCTTTGACTTCCATGAATACTGGTGAGTGATGTTTACCCTTGTTATATTAGTTAAATTAGTACATAGAATAATCAAGATTTGATTACCACCTTATTCTATGAATTTATAACTGGATGACCTGATAAATTTTGAAGAGTAACAGTTAACAACAAACTTAGAATCCTAACATTTGCTCAGTAGGTCATCATATGAAAGGTTAGTTTAACATCCCGATGAGCGACTGTGGGATAATGAGACCCTTGCACATAGGACTCGATTGTTCTTTATTCGGTCAAAACCTCCAGAGTACAAATTACATACCGTATATCTCGGGCTATAAGACGGAATTTGAACCATAAAAAAATCAGCCCAAAGTTAGGGGGTCGTCTTAAGCACCAGATATAAAATTCTTACCTCTTAAATATTGCAGTTTAGCGTGTCAAGAGTGGTGATGGAAACATGGTAAACCACTCACAAGGTCCTACCACTAATTATTTTATACTGAAACTTATGTTTGGGAAGTTGGATTAAAAATAAGATTACTGGTATATTAAAATAATAAAAATGTATTATAAACCTGTCTAACATACCGTAAAAGAACAATATACCCCTGTAATAAACACAGCTATCATCACACACCCCTCCCCCATTTGCCAGTGACAAGACTAGAAAGGGAAAGTGACGTTGACTGTGACCGCCTGTGGCTATTTTTAGCCGTCCTTGTGTTCGGAGGTGGTCAGTAATGTATATCTGTATATTTACTGATCATAATACTTATCTCCTATAAATAATTCATATAAAAATTTTTTTTACAAAGAATATTCAATAAATGACTGCGTTAATTCTTGAAACTACCGACAGTGGTAAATTTAGGATGACAATGATGACCACGAAGTCACGTCATGGATTCGGAGTTTGGTCCTTAATGATCACCATAAATATCTGGTCAACTTCACCTACCAGGTATAATGGTAGCCTCCCTTTTTTGCGAAACAAGTACATAATTAAAGAAAATACTTGCAGTGTTTAATATATTACAGTATATAAAAATAAATAAATAAACAAATAAATCGGCAAATCTATTTCAAGTAAATGGAAATATTTTACTCACACCGACTTGTGGGCCCCAGACCAAACTCATCAGTGGGCCCCCAAATTTTTTTCATGGAAAATTTGTCAATGATACTGTTTGTGTCAAGGGATTGTAGGAGGCCAGATTCAATGCATAATAATGAAAGTGAGTTTAATCAGGTTTGTCCCATGGTAGACCTCAGGTGATTTTCCACCCTAGATATAGTAGAGAAAGACCTCTCTCCTTCACAATTTGTAATGGGGATGGTCAGGAAAATTCTTCCCAAGATATTTATGTTTGGAAAGGCAGTTGTCAAAATACCATCTTTGGACCTCAGCAAAGTGGAGGTGTTTGTCACTGACCTGTCAGATTCAGAAGACAAAATGTCTTTAAATTGCAAAAACTCATCTAGAACAGATGTTTCCAGGTCACTGGAATAGGTACTGACAACCAATTCCAGTTGGGCTTTGAGATCATCATATTTCATACTGTCATACTCCATTAAGAAGCAAAACAGCTTCTTTATTTCTGAGTAGGCATTTACTCTGTGCTCTAATTCATTCCTAAGGCAATCTAATATGGTGTAGAAATTGTCCACCTTGAGCTTCTCACGTGGATCAAGTTGAGTTTCAGTGCCAACTGATTCATCAAAGAAATGTTTTCTCTTTTTTGTTCTTTTTGTTCTCTGTGTAGACAGGCTCAGCAAAAGCCCTAGCCTGATCTTCTATTTCATCAAACTGACCCTGTCTCATTTCTGAGACGAAGGAGATCAAACTCTCATACTGTTTCACAACTGACAGAAGGTCGGTCCCAACTTTTTGAAGTGATAAGCTGATTGCATTAAACCTTGTTAAGATTTTATACCTTTATACCATATTACAGTAAGAAGTGCTGTTTCAAATGCTTCCATTTGTCTTATGAGGCCTTCACCTTCAAGCTTTGTAGCCACAGTTTGTCTACTGTCAGAACATCTGTTCTCCAGTGCTGACTTTATTTCAAGGTAATGTAAAAACACTGCTTTAACAGCATCAGCCCTCGCACTCCAGCGAGTTTCTGAATGAGATTTCACTACAATCCCTTCAGCAGGTAGTGCAGCTTTCAAGTGATCCCAGCTATATGTGGAGGCTGAGAAGAAGTTGTATAAGGCTTGCAAAAATCTGGAATATGAAACAGACCCAAGGCAACTGCTGGCAGCTGATGTTCCTACAAGGTTCAAGGAGTGACCTGCACAAGGGACATAATATGCCAGGGGATTCATAGCCTTTATTCTGTCTTGGAGACCAGCATTGTCATAACTCTGCCCTCTCATGTCACTCAAATCAAGACCAACATCTTTAATTAACTGTGTGAGATACTCAGGTGGTCCTTACACTCAGGGGTAAAGGAAACACACTGATGTCAAGTCCGTAAGTTCTTTTTCTGGTACAAACACTAAAAGGAGTTAAGACAAGGGTAAACAGCGTCCTGTCTTGGAATCTCTCTGGGTATCTCTCTATGCTCATGCGCGTACAGCGCGCATGTGCCCAAAGCCTGAACTAACACTCGGTGACAAAAGGGAGTATGATTATAAAACATATAATACAGAGACCTGAATCAATAATGGTAAATAGTACAGAGTTACATATTACAGCCATATTCGTCTCATATATCTACACCTCCCTCCCCCTCACGCTCGTAGTGCAATCTCGAGCGGACTCTTTTTCCAGGAGCCTTTGAGAGTGACGTGGGAAAACTGGGGGGTCACTGAATGAAGACTTACTTTTCTTGTCCAAGCGAGGGTTCACAGGGATGTGGGGGAGGGGTTCACCACTAGGGGACGGTACTGAACGAAGGAAGCGGCGATTCCGCCACCATACCCGACCACTAGGGAGACAGACCTCGTAATCCCTGGTCTTGCCGCAGCCCATGACAACCCCGACCTTGTCCCAGCGGTGAGACGTCGGGTCTTGAACCCGAACTGTTTGCCCAATACTCAACCTGGGAAGGGGTCGGGCGTGCTGATCGTACTGTGCCTTTACCTGGTCAGCACGGGCGGCTGCACGACGATCGCAGTCCTCGGTCTTGGCCTGCCACTCCCTCGAGAAGGACTCAGGATGGGCAGGGACACATGACCGTAGTGGGTGGCCGTATAACATCTGTGCTGGGGAGCGACCTGTGAAGTTGGGGGTATTCCGCAATTCCAATAAACCCCGGTCAAACTTCTCACAGTCAATGTTGCCTGAGGGTGCCGTCTTGAGGATGAGATGCTTGACGGACTTTACGGCAGCCTCGGCATGTCCATTGGACTGGGGATAATGTGGCGAGGACACCACATGATGAACTCCCCATCGCTCCATGCAATCCCGGAAGTCGTTGCTGGTGAACTGGGGCCCGCCGTCAGTCCTCAGGCGGAGAGGGACACCAACTTCCCGGAAGTAACGACAGAACATACGTACTGTATGAGAGGCAGTAGTGTTGCCTCCGCAGGGAACGACAATAGGGCACCCTGAGAGCCGGTCGGCGATGACGAGAAAGGACTTTCCCGCCACAACGAAGAAATCCGCAGAGACGGACTCAAAGGGCCTCGTAGGGTTGTTGTTCAAGAGGGGTTCCTGCTGCTGACTAGGCTGCAGCACCTGGCATGGCTCGCAGACTTGAACGGAACTAGCGATGTCGGAGTCGATGCCTGGCCAAAAATCAGCTTGTCTCGCCCGGCGCTTCGTAGCTTCCACACCCCTGTGGCTGTCGTGCAGGTGGGCTAGGGTGCGGCGGCGGAGGGCAGCAGGAACCACAACTCTTGCTCCATACAAGACGAGGTCGCCATCAGCATAGAGGTCATCCCGCATCTTCCAGTATGGGAGTAAAGAGCTGTGTAAGTCGTACCGGTTGGAGGGAAATCCCGAGGTCACGCAGTTCAGTAGACGGATGTACGAAGGGTCCGCTCTTGCTGCAGCTCGGAGTTCCTGAAGAGTCCTGTCGGCATCCTGCGGTGGAGACTCTTCTGAGATGACGGCGTTCACGGTCACTACGGTCCTGAGGTGTGCAGTAGCATCAGCACATGCGATCTTGTCCTCTGGTGTGGGGTGGCTGACTGGGGCTCGTGACAAAGCATCAGGGATGCAGAGCAGCTTGCCAGCACGCCACACAGCTGTGAAGAGGTAGGGCGAGATCTTCTCCTTAAGGCGTTGGAGGCGGGGATTCTCGACCGCATCCAAGGAGTAGTGGTTCAGGATCGGGATGAGTGGCCGATGATCCGTCATGAGGTTGAAGTGTTGTAGGCCGATCAGAAACAACCTACATTTGGACATGGCCCAGACGGCGGCTAACAGCTCCAGTTCGATGGTGGCATAGCAAGTCTCGGCGTCAGTGAGAAACCGAGAGCCACACTGAACCAGACGAAGGCGTCCATTGCCGTGGTCCTGTAGCAGAGCGTATCCAATCCCGTAGAGGCGAGAGGCATCAGTCTGGAGGACAAATGGCAGGGCCGGGTCGAAGGAAGCGAGAACAGGTGAGCTAAGGAGAGCTGTCTTGACGCGACGGAATGCCTCATCATGGTCAGCTGTCCAGGTGAGTGTTCTCTTGGGGCTCATCAGGGGGCGTAGGGGCTGTGCTGCAGCGGCGATGTCGGGGGTGAACTCAGCCAACTGGTTTACCAGGCCCATGAACGAGCGGAGGTCGGTCAGGTTGGCAGGAGTTGGGAAGTCCCGGATCGCGCTGACCTTTCCAGGATCAGCCGAGATGCCCTTGCCTGAGAGGGTGTACCCACAGAAGTTCACACTAGGTGCGGCGACCGCAAACTTATCCTTGTTGAGGGTGATCCCGTACTTGCGGCACCTGGTGAGCATCTGGTGAATACGCTCAAGATGCATGGAGTAATCCTCGTCATATAGGAGCACGTCGTCGATGACCTTGACACAGTTCGCCACACCCTGAAGGGCCATGTCACCACGGAGGCAGAAAGCATTGCCAGTAGCTGCGAAACCCATAGGTC